CCTTTTTACCGTAATGGCAAGATGCCAAATCCGGCCAAAACAGTACGGAACAACCGTGTTTCTTCAGGAAAGGCAGCAGACGTTTATTCAAACACTCTTTCACGTAAATTTCTTGGTTGACAGTCCCGGAAGCTATGAAAATGCTGCTTTTCAAGCCACAGGTACAGATGGCTTGCCAAACCAGATATTTCTTTGCGAACTTTGACAGTTTCATGTGCTTGAAAACATCTGCTACCTTTCCCCTTCCTTTTGCCGTATAAAACTCCTGTCCCGGAAGCTGCTTGTAGTCGGCTTTGACGTAGGTTTCGTCGTCCATTACCACGCAGTCAAACTTCGTCAGCATCGTCGTCCGGGATCGCGCTTTGGCCGTCGTATTTTGTTTATCATCGCGATTTGGAGTCACTACCTTCTTGTAAGTCGATAGTCCGGCTCGTTTTTTGGCTCGATGCACGGTTGTAGACGATACACCCAGCTTATTTGCGGCATCTCGGAGAGAGAGGTTAGGGTTTCGCTTGAAACTACCGGCAACTCTCTTTGTCGTCTCAGCGGCTTCCGGTTTTCGATTTCCCCCCGATCCAGACTTCCTGGCTGTCGACAAACGTTCCCCAAACACTTTAATTACATTTGTAACGGTTGATTTGGCAACTTTTAGCGATTTTGCTCGGATTTTCGCGATGCGCGAGCAAAATTTTGATACGCTGCTCTTCTTGCTTGGACGGCATTTTGACAACTGAAGAGTGAATTCCAAAATCAAAATAGGAGCAACATTCTACACACACACACCTTCAAAATGAGGGGTGTTCAGGTTTTTTAAATGCAAAATTGAAAGAAATACGTCAAGTTGATATTGACCAAATTTTGACCGTATCACCCTTTAAAGCCGGTCCATGAGTTGATGGGTCGACACCCGAAAAAAAATTATAATAAAACAACAAAATTGTAATGATTTTTACTGTCGAATTTCGAGTACAATAAAATTTATTGTTAAATTATTGTACGGGTTAAAAAATAAATATCGATTTTTAACGACAATGTTCTAACAATGAAAATTAGTGTGATGAGATCAATTTTGTTCGAGAAAAATCAGTTTTTTTTTATTGTTAAGATGCTTAACAACCCCATTTTTTTTACTGTAAATTTCTCATATGCCATGATTTTCATTGTTGTGAATCATGAATTTCGTTGTAATTTTATGGTAATCAACAAAAATGTCCAATGTTTTGACAGTAAATATCATGGTTACAATGACAATGAAAATCATTGTATTTTTATTGGATTTTTTTACGGGTAGATAGGGTCCAAGTGTGGGAGCTGTCTCCCTGGTGTCGGTCACCGAACTTCTGTAAACAGCTTTAGAAGGCAACTTGTCAAAACTGAAAATCAAACAAACAGTTTCCGTGCGTGAGGATGAAATGCCTGGACAAAATTAGGAATTTCATGCATAATTTACATGATCGATAAAAAATGATAGTCATATTCTTCCGTGAGTATTACAAAACACTTGTTACAGGATTTACTCATAAATGATTCTGTTAACCATTAATTATCTGGTTCATCGCACAGGGACTGGAACAAGCATGGAGGGATCCAAGTAGGTTTGCATTGCTTGCAACTATAATTAAAATACTTTTTTAGTTTATACAAGTCTACAAAAAGAATATAAAACCAAAATTGAAAAATCTAATTTTATAATTAATCCGAAAAAAATCCGAAATTACCGAACAAATTCGGTAATGCCCATAAATAAATTCACAGTTCTTCTTCTTCTTCTTAGTATAATTGTGTGTCAAGTCCAATCATAATCTATGCCCAGGGAAGTCGAGAAATTTTCCAAACCTAAAAAATCCTAGACTGGACCGGGAATCGAACCCAGCCACCATGGTCTTGCTTTGTAGCTGCGATTATCCGGAAATAACACCGAATGTTCGGTAAACGAAATAAATTCATCAAATAATTTACAGATCGATTTGTAAAAACTTACCGAACGGTTCGATAGTTTTGTGACAATATATTTTTAGATAATTACAGATCTTTCGCTGTTGAGATTTCGGTAAAATTTTACAGATTTAGACCTCGATATATTTGGATATTTTGATTATTAAATTTAGGCAATTATCAGATCGCCATTCCATATCAGGTCCTAAAAATCAACTATTAGACAAATATTTGGAACAATAGAAATGAAAACTGTAAAAGGGAGAACAAATTAAAAATTTTAATATCCGGAGCTTTACTAAACCACCATCTCAACGTTTTCTCAATTTATATTATATTGGGCACTGAAAAGCAAGATTTTTTATACCGTGGACCACCGGTAATCTGACCGTTCTTAATGTGAATACTTTTTAGTTTGAACCCCACTAATCTGCATCTTAAGGAATGGAGCCATGGAATTATCCGAAACGGAACGTAGAATCAAAACAAAACAGCAAATAAAGCTACCAGAAAGGGAATCGTACAGAAGGCCGAATCACAAAAGGATGAAACACAAAAGACCGAAAATATTCTAAGGTATCACAAAAGGCCGAAAACCAAAAAACTGAATTTGTTGAAAACCGCATCAATAATCTGTTAAGGCTGGCGCACAATGTGTAATGTCGTTTTCGTTTTTGCGGTGTAGCTACACCGGTGCTACACTGCCGTACACCGAAATATTTTAGGGTGTAGATATAGAATGCACCTTTGTTTACAAACAAATGATGTTGAGCTGTCAAAGACTCGCGCTTATTCCTGCTTACACTACACCAGTGCTACACCGCAAAAACGAAAACGACATAAGTTTCCGGGTTTTTTGACAGATAATGCATGGGCTAACTGTCAAAAAACCTGAAAACTTATCCATTGAGCGCCGGCCTTTAGCCTTTCTGCTCGCACAACTGACTCGGCTCGTTAAATGGTTCACGGCGAATGAGAACAACCCAAATTTGAGTTTAGTTCACTCATTATCGCCAAAAGTGCAGGAACTCAGCGATGAGTAAATTTGCCTCATGTTTTCCCAGGTTTTTCCAGGATTTTCCAGGGAAAAAATCCCGAATTTGAGAAAAGTAAAGATTGGATTCACTCAGTCTATTTGTACTACTCCGAGACTGAATAAAATTTTCGTCAATTTCCTCATTTTCCGGCAGATTTTTTAGGTTTTCCACAAGAAACCATGAGACAAATTTTACTCATCGCTGAGTTCCTGCACTTTTGGCGATTATGAGTGAACTAAACTCAAATTTGGGTTGTTATCATGCGCCGTGTTTGCATTCACAAAAAATTAAGCCAAGACGAAATTAGATATAGAGGTGTTCTCACTTGCTGATTTTTTGGGAAAAATTATAGTAAGTGGGAAGCTGCGGGTAAGAGAAGGGTAAGGAAATGAGAGATGCGATAGAGGTGAACGGTTTATTTACGCATACACAACATTCTGATTGGGTAGCGAGTTGCGCAAGCAGTTGAATGTGTGTAACTAGAACGTTCAGCAAAACGGACCAAGAGCAATATCGCTGCTAATGACGATTTACGATTTGAGAATACTTCCCATATTGAATCTCATCTTGAACGAAGCCATCATCGTTATTGAATACTCAAACATCTGGAAACAATAAAGCTAACTATCACTTTCTCTCTCATTCAGCATCTGAAGCCTTTCTGCTCTTACAACTGAGTCACCTCGTTGAATGGTCCGCATTCACAAAAAACGAAGCCATCTTGTCATTAAATCGTCGTTTAACACTCAAACAAACATAAAAATAAAGCTACCCATGTTTTTTTTTTTTTCATTGCGGAAATCGAATCGCTATTAAGTAGCTTCCATTATATTTTATTTGAAAGATGCAGAATAATAACTATTGTAACTTTGCTTTAATAATGTAATTTAATTTATTAAAAACAAATTAACAAAAACCCGAATCGGGAAAGCAACAAAGTAGACCGGTCCACTTTGTCGCTTTCCCGAGCTTTTTCGGCCTTTTGTGATTCGGCATTTTGTGTATTCAGCCTTTTATGATTCGGCCTTCTGTGATTCGGCCTTTCGTAATACTCCCACCAGAAACTCGCTTTTTTATGGTCGTAGGGTTACTAGAAGTTCAAATTAAAAATGAACCCCATAATGCACGAAGTTTCGTTCAGATTAACGGGGGTTCACGGTATACTGATTACTGAATATGAATTCAACTATATTCCTTTAGCCCGAAAGTAATTTTATTGAAAAAAAAAGTATCCCGATAGTTGAAGTCCCAGCTTTAATTTCCACCAAAATCTGCAACCTGCCCATTTCTCCGAGACAATGCAGCCACCTTAAAGTGCATATTTATTTTCTGAAAGGACGGAAGAACTGTTGAACTGAGCTAGGTAGTTCCTTTCAGGGAACTGAACGACTCAGAACCGTTCAGTAAAAGAACACTGTATGGAGTACTTTTTGATACAGTCGTATGTGAATATTTGGAAAATTGAGAACGAGATGTTTTGTTTTGGTGATCAAAAATAAATTTATATTTTCAATGAGATAGATAACTCTTTAAAATTTCCCGTGAATTAACATCTCAGGAGTGCTGCTATTGACTGAGAAGAGTATTGATAGCTTTTATGTTAAAACCAGATTTGCATCGAAATTTTCACTATTATTAGTCCAGTTTTACGTATCTGTTGAATTTGTTACATACGACGATCAGCACCCCGTAGAAATTAGGTGCCGACCTATTCAAAAGGCACTCCAGTCTTATGCCCATATCAAGGCGATAGTGTTTTGTGGATGTTGTTCTACAATTAATGTGAAACATTCAGTCTTATGCCTTGATCAGACTACAGAGTTATGGTGGTTTCTGTGTTGCAATATTATTTAAAAACCGTTATAACATGTTAATACTGCTCAGTCTGGACAGTGCTTTATGTCTGTAGGTCTGTACCTTGAATTCTAGAGATTACTCTGTTTACACCATTACTTAATATTGCCCTTAATTCTTCAATAGCTTTTTACAAACGAAACCCATTGCTCTTATCCTCTCATCCATGTGTAGGAAAACCACAAACGATCGATTCCGAAAGACACATGGAACCTGCTGCTAGACTTTGCAACCTACATCGATGACAGTATGTCCAACTACGATGCAGAAGGAGCTTGGCCGGTGCTGATTGATGACTTTGTGGAATGGTGCCAGCAACAGAACAAGGTTAGCCATCCTTCGGTAATCACTTCCACCAGTAGTGCAGCAGTTGGAGTTCATTTGCCGTCCGCGTCTTCATCCACCGCTTCTTCGCCATCATCTACGGTCGCCAATCCGTACAGCGCTAGCAAAGGTAACCCATACAGTAGTACGACGACTAATATGTACTACTGAATCGGTTCGTTCTCGTTACCTAATTTTCGCTGCTTGATAAAAAAAACTATCTCCTGCTAATTTTAATGGATAACTTGTTTTCCTTTTATCGCTCTCATGCACCGGACAAGTTTTGCTGCAATCACTATTATCGCTTAAGATCTTAAATGTGAGTGGTTTCAGAAAAATTTCCAACACGCACTCTTGCCTCTTACCCATTACTGGGAAATATGGCAAAGCGTTCTATGTCAATGACTTTTGTTCGTGGCACTCAAACTAGAACTAGAACTTTTGCGGTGGATTTGTCCGCCGTGTAAGAAGTCAAGCCATAGACATTGAAGAGATCTAAGTGGATACATAGAGAAACATGGAATTTTATTCTAATTTACAGTAGACATCATGCAGCAAACTCAGTTTGAACATTAGAATAGTAGTGTAAAATACATTTCGATTATTAAAAAATAAAGAAAGAAACAAATCTTTGGTAGTGATGCAAATAACGAAAACTATTTGAATTCATTAAATGTTGAAAACGTATATACTATGCTATTATTACAATTAGTACCATTAAATAATGATGTAATAAAAGCGTGGTACCTAGTGGGATCATTCGGAATAGGATGGAAAGAAAATCAGTTAGGTACACGAACTAGCTTGCTTTATTTCCAGCACTGGATTGGAGAGACTTTTTAAACAATAACTTAAAAAAATGCTGCATTGCACGCAAATTGGATCAAACCAAAATAAGAATGGTGCAGTTGTCTTCTTTGGTATATCACACAAACGCTTTTCTAGGTATTTCAACTAAGGTGGTCAAATTAACTGCGTCAGTTAATTAAATTCGAATCGTTCGTCAAACTCAGTTTTCTTTCCTTGTATTTAGCCAGGCCGGTTCGTAGAAGCTCTCGATTTTCAAAACTCCACGTTAGCAAAGTTACACTGGTGCACAACATTCCGATCAGGATATGGTAGAAGATCGATCGGCCGAAAAAATAAGACTCAGAAAGCTTACAAATAAAACCGCCTATTGCTAATACAGTGAGGAAAAGTGGTCCCGGTAGAAAGCTAAACAATGGATCACGTCCTATGACCCTATAATGGTTTTGAATATAATACAAGCTGTAACTTATCCGGAAGCTCATGTTGCAAATGTTAGCCAACACGAATCCGACAGGACCAAACCAGTTCGTTAGCTGATAGGAAAGTAGAAGAAACGCTACTGAGAAGAATGCCATGTAGTAGTTGTAGGTGTCAATCTGCTTGGAAGTATTTGTTGCAAACATGTATCCCTCGGTAACGCCGTTCACAGCCAGTAGCACAATTGCCAAACAGTGCCATTGCAACAACAGCTCCGGTAGGCCTCCTTCCACAAATTCAGATCCACCGTAAAGCAACAGCAGGGTGCCAGAATAGCTTTGGCCGAAAACAAACCCAACTAATCCGATCGAGGTTACCGTTTTGCATACATACGATAGCACTTGGCAGGCTTCGTTTACTTTCGCGCGGTTCTGGTCCAGCAGCTTCACATCCCGGGCTATTGTTTGAGTGAAATAGAAGTAACTGCTATCCTCTATCGGCCGGAAGATAAATCGAGCAGCCAGGCTGCCCATATTGTTTACAACATCGTAGGTTGCCTGCTCACTAAAGGTCAATACGGGACTAACCGACATCACATATTTTTCACCTTCGGTCAGAACCTGCTTCAGGACGCCTTGCTTGGCAAAGCTTAGAACTAGCTTTTGTAGATCTGTATTGAAGGCGGAATTCTGCAAAGAAGGAGATAACATCAATAAATGTGAAATTTGGAAGCGATAGTATGTTTCGGTAAAATGGGTAAAATGTGCACAGTCACAAAAAGGCAGGTTTTATGATACATATGGCGGTTTGAAGAAAACATCGATTGGCCTCAAGTTTCTAAGACCTAAGGCTATCGCTGAACTCCCTTCAGTCAATGATTAAAATTTTGAAAGTAACTTTGTACTGTCAAAAAAATGCATGTGAGAATTTTGACGTAGGACTACGTCTTTGTCTTCTATATGGGATACACTTTGAAAGTACGAAAAATGAACATGTAACGAAAAGGGTCAGGTTTTGAACGCATATTTCTCCAAAGAATTAATGTGAAATATGTCATGCAATATGCCATTTGACGGGGGCTTCATTCAGCAATTTTGTGGCATATAGGGGAAATGGCTCTAATATTGGCCTATGGATCTAAGATTGAGCCCATCGCTAAAAATCTGCTATTTATCAATTTTATCTAGAGGAACGCGTCATTGGGACGGTACTAATGGATATTTTTGGTCGCTATTGAAAATTTAGTCGATTGCTGAATTTATGTATGGGCCCAAATTAGGGTTCCCCTAGTACAAATAATGAAAATAGTTAAACAGCTAAAAAAATTAACTAAAATTTGTAGCATCAAAATTTTCCATACATATGCTTAGACCACAAGGTGTTCTCCTAACACAGCCATCACATAGTAGGTCCCAAACGAAACAAGCCGAAGCCGCACTTCCTTTGGAACTTCGGACGTGTTCATATCGATCGCCTAACACACGCCATGTGGACCGGTGGACAGGCTCCCCGCAAACAGCTTGCTACCAAGGCTGCCTGCAAGAGCACTCTAGCGAGAAGTAGTGAAGAAGCCACACCGCCACTGTTCGGGTACAGTTGCTAATCGTGAGAAACACCACTGTGGGTCATCTTCATCAAGCGCGTCATCGTCATGCCGAAGAACATCAAACTAGCACACGTATCCGTGGCGAAAGTGCTTACAGATCGCAGAATTCCCCAACTACACAAAGATCGAATAACCCGGTATATTGCATCAAACCTGCCGCTGGTCACGATATAGTGCTTGTTTTCGCATAAACAATAACCATAAGCAGCACCTAATCACCAATTCGGGATATAATCCCAACTTGATGTGGTATGGTCGTACCATCTATGATATCGTTAGTGTATGGTACCCGTTTATTGGGGTTGTTCATCGTAAAGTGTCTAATATAAAGGCTACACTTTTGCCTAGGGCCAACAGCCGGGTAATTTGCTTCCTGCTCGACAGACGACCATGCGCAATTTTCATTATTTCGCCAGAAGCAAAACCCGTGTGAGCTTAGGGAATCAATTCGACAGTGAGCATGCATAAGGGCGTATACGCGATGATCAATTCTCTTCATCGATTTTCTCTTTTGTTAATAACTCGCTATATTTAACGTTTCTCGGTGCGTTTGCTGGCGATTAATGTCATTTGTATGATGTTAAATTGGTCATTTCAACGACATCTGATTTCAGATTCGAATTCAGCAACCCAAAGCTCCATATTTCATCACTTCCTCAAAATTGTACATTTAGGACTATAGAATGCATCGTTTGCTAGAGAAAACGTATTAAAAGTACTATTTAATACTACTCACTGAAATACTGAACAAATTATCTTTTGATAATATCATTAAATTAATTGAATTATTTAGAAACGAAATTGATCAATTTCACCTCAATGATTAACTTCACCCCGTTGTACGGTACAACATAATATGTATTGTAAGGTTTCAACCAAATTCCAGGTTATTTATCAGTTTTTCCCGGTTGTTTTCGATTCCCGGTTCTCCCGGTTTAGTGGCCACCCTGAGTGCGGCAAACCTGGTCAGCTGGTCAAGCAAGCAGTTTGGCTGTCTGATATCATCTATGATTTGAAGCTGAAAACTTGTGTCCCGGTTACAATTTATGAGGACAACCAAGGCTGCATTGGAATGGCCAAAAATGGCGAGTTAAATGTTCGAAGCACATTAATGTGAAGCATCATTTTGTCATTAAAAAACTTGTATAACGCATCGGAATAGCGGATTGACAGGGGGTGTTATCCAAGTAACAATCGGTTATTCGTCTCGGGGTTATTCTAAAGCCCTACAGTAAAAGTATGGACGACTGTCACCACAAAACTGAAAAAAGCTGTTCCAATCGAGCAAAGCGGTGCATTTTGACGGTTCGATTGGAACAACTTTTGACAGACGTCCATACTTATACTGTAGGGCTTGAGATTATTCTGGTCGCGGGTAACAACGCATATTCCCTAGCAACGTCTTTGTTAGCGAGTACATTTTTCAAACCGTACAATCAAGACGTAGGGGAAAGTGAGGCAAGACGGCCACCCTGGTCTATGGTCATGAACCCGCCTTACAAAAATATTCCTAGTATAAGGGATGATTAATAACAATGCAAAACACTAACAATCCCGCAGAACACCTTAGAAACACACAATGAAATACAATCAAAAACACCTCAGACACACGAAATGCCATCTTGCTCCACAATCCTCTATTTCAAATTGTTCATAACTATTTAATATAGAAATCTAATGGAAAGTCCAATTGAATTTTCAAGTAATCTATCTTAAAATGGATAGATTAATGCTATTATGCTAGTGATCAAACTTTACAATTTTCGCAATATACAGCCACACGCTGTTTTTGTTTTTGTACCCGAGTGCGCACCTTAGTGAATCTTTAGTGAAAACACGGAGTGTGGCTTGTAGATTAATGATTACTCGACTACCCGAATTCTATTTTATAACCGTAAAAACCTGCACAATTTCTACTCAACTGCGATCATCACTTACCGAATTCGGCAAAACTCCAGGCATCATTTCTCTTATAGATGTAAATGGGAAGTCTTCCATATTTTCGTAGTAGTTTCCGAACGTTTTCCGCAACTCATACTTATCATCGACCCGTTTCATCTCCTTCCGATATTGCATCAGACGTGGTATGTACAAGTGGAAGAACGCATAGTTCCCAACTATAATTGTTATTGCGCTTATAATTTGTGCTATCCCGAATGCGTAAATCGTAATGCTTTTGTTCCACAAAACCAGCACTATAAAAACAAGCGAACGGATGAAGATATGTCCGGTGTCCATCACAACCTTAAGCTTCACGAAGCAGAAGACTTGAGAAACGAAGATCGGTGATTCGGCCGTAAGTTCGATAACGCAAGCAAATGCTATTGCAAAACAACCGAAACGATACTGCACGTAATAGTGTTCATCCACAGTCGATAGCCAATTCAACCAAATATACAAGCATGGCATCGCTAGGACGAAGCATATCGGAACCCTGCAAAATGAGATTTTCAATTTGTAGATTATCTTGCATTCGTAAATCTGTCCAAAATTAACATTACGTGATCCAGAGTTGATTAATCAATTGTGCCCAAGTGCATTGTTTGTTGTGCCGTGAACTTAATGCGGCACGGATAATAGCCTCTTTGGATAGGAACAACAATGTACTTTCCAGTAAAAGCAATCGAACATTGGTTATCCCCAGTACCTCTCGCCCAACACTCCTCACAATGAAGGCATTGATTGCAAAGGTAATGCATCTGCAAAAAATCTGGAAGTAGTGAAGCGTAAGATTATTGAGCTCCGTAAATAGCGATGACCTTGTTCTCTATCCTTACCTGAAATATGATACTGAAGGATGCATTTTGCAAACTACTCGCGAGAATATTTCGTCCCATCTTTTGCTATTACTTTAAGACACCTCAAAGCCTAGAGTTACTTGAAGTTGTGTTTGCAATTAGTTTTC